ACTTGGCATGATCTTATCAAGCTCCTTTGCGCACGTCTCCATAGCCATCTTGATCTTCCTCATCTGCTTGGGATTGACTTGTTCGGAGTCGAGAGGCTTGAGAACACCGTCAACCACAAATCCTTCTAATTCGGGGCGGCTGGCGTACAAAGTGCCCAAGCACCTCTCTCTCTGCCTCTCATACCATGTTAAGAGACAACCCATTTGACATGTAAAGACGCTCGAAACCAGATTCGAGGTGTCTTGTACCCACGAAGTCCCGTCCCAGACAAAAAAGAGCTGATCTCGACTCCTTTCTGCTTCGTTCGTGGTCACCAAAATTCGACCCTCGATCATGTACATATATGCAAAGAGGCGCCCGAGATTGGCGTACGCTTGAGGAGCGGCGTGCTCAATCACGATCTTGAGCAGCAAATCCTGCACATCTCGCGTCTCCCTTGTGTACTGAGTGACAACTCGCATGTCGTCGTGAGGATCCACGGGATCTGCGGTAGCATCTTGCAAGGCGGCCTTCAAGTTCTCCAAGACCCCTAACTTTTTGGCGGGCTTGTGCGAGCACTCGTCTCCATGGCAGCGGTAGTATACATGCCGTCCCCTCTTGAGCAGATTGAAGTTGTTGCTCCCCGAGTGCGTATGGCCAAAGAAGCACCTTCGAGGCCCATGCGTCCGGTAGCAATAGTATGTCCCGTACAGGCCGTGTGGTAACGACCATGCGTACGTGCTTGTTGAATCGCCGGCCTTCTCTAATAGCAATTTTGAGAGTTCTGCCAGCAAGAGCTCCCTGCAGTGTGGCGGTTCCAAACTTGGGCTCGAGCGATCTTGCTCGAAGCTTGGACTTTCCACACGTCCTGGCATGGACGCATCAATGCTTGCTCCCAAAACCTTGCCACCCTGCTCCTCTCCGCTTGTCGCCGCACTAGTATGACCGGCACGATTGTTGATCATTTCTGCAAGCCAAATGGGCATATCTTGGCACGCGTCGGTGCTAGGAGGCCCATCACTGAGCCACTCATATGTTGCAAGCTCGCCGTCAGCATTCAAGTAGCTTGTTGGTGAAGCGAACACAACACCACCAATTCCTCTTCCATCAACGCCAAAAGTTTTGTCGTCGACCTTGAGACCTTGAATATTCCGTCTCCACGTGAGACCTGGAGAGTCGAGCTTGAAGTACATATACAACCCACCAGAGCCGGTCCTTGCTTTCAGTGTCTCCGGTGAGTCCCCGTGGATCTCAACAAGTTGCTGCCAGAGCTCTGTCCCTGGTCGCTTTCCCCCTTTTGCAGCCACATCAATATCTAGCACATACACTCCACTGACTCCCGCGAGTATTGCAAGCCCGTTTGCATCCCGCTTTTCCTTCATCGCTTGATTGATGGACCGCCCCCATGCCTCTGTCTCTTTGATATGTGCATACTTGTCAGGAAAGTCAGCATGCTTCGACCCTTTATTCCGATCCCAAGAGACGGACACTGGTAGTGCGTATAAGCCGTTGTTACAGAGTCGTTGGATCTCGTTCCTGATGCTGACGGGTCCTAGGGCCTTGGGGTCTCTGGCTGTCTGAGCCTTCCCCTGGGATCGAGAGGCGTTTGCCCGTTCAACATCCGACGTAGCCATTCCTTTCTATACTCCAGTGAGGAAAGAATATGAGACGGTTGGAACGCGCTCCCTTGACATCTGCGTTCTCGTACCACTTTTTTTCGAAGCTTCATTGTAGGGCGTCATGGTCCAAATCACAAGTCCTTTGATCGACACCGACACTTATCCATGTCATTGCCGCGTTTGTGAGACGAGTCGCGCTTACCAAAAAGAACACCATGTGGAACACGCGCAGACCGTTCGAAGATACTATGGCCGACATCGGGAGAACATCCTCATGCAAAAAGCATACAAACGCTTGCTTACTGGAACCACAAGAAAGCTCCACAAAGCCACAATTCGACGCTTGATAGACGCCGGGTATGATGTGCCCCGGACGGCTGTCCCCTCGGACATGGGAGGCGAATTCAAAGCCCCCACCGTCCCTTTAGGTGCGTTCACAAGTATCGAAGTCTCCTGAATGAGGGGTAAGTGGCGAGTTGGTTGAAGAGCCTGAGCGTCTAGAATTGGATCCGAGTTCCATCGGGTCTGTACTTGAGTTCGTAATGGCGCATTGCTACTGGAGCCGTGTGCAACATTGACCTGGCAAGCTGGTCTCTGTCCTGAAGGGATGGCGCATCCTTCATCGCGTTGCTGACAGTGATCTTTCGCAGGAGGCACGATCCCAAATTTGAATCGGGGTAAATTGCCGCCAGAAACTTGGTCAAGTAGCCGGACCCCATTGGAGCGTCCGGTGTCCTCATTCGGCTGAGCAGGTACTTTCGCGGAAAAATATCAAGACTTTCCGCAATCACGTTGCAAAGCCGGACCGGTATGTCGAGAATTTGCGGTCCGTGCTTCTTGTCGGTTTTGTAGGACTTCAGGTGGAGCCTATAGCTGCCCTTTGCATACTCCAGGAGGTAGTTGCGAGATCCCGCCATGAGCTCACGCGCGGCAGTGCTCCCAACCTCTTCGAAGCGCACAATGGGAAGATTGCTCCAATCATTACGGATCGCCGGCATTTGTGTGTACAAACAGAGCACGAGGTAGCGGCAGAGCGTCACTTTGTCCCCAACCGTGACCTCTTCTGGTTTCTTTGGCGCAATAGATCGATTGACCCTCCGTTGAAGCTCGACGCGCCGTTGATTAATATCATCTAGCGATCTCCAATTCTTGGCTTCTCGTTCCGACATGTGCTGGGGTGGTCGAGCTTCTTCCATGGCCTTTCTCACCGAAGTGAATCTCTTGAAAAGTGCCTCGTAGGTCTGTTGATCACTGGGCCATAGTTTCCGAGCAATAACAAGGAGAGGGCTGATGCTCGTTGCTTGGGTCGGTAGTTTATTGGAATATACGCTATCAAGGAACTCAATGATACGGGTCGTATCTCGGACCCACTCAAGTGACTCGAAGTCCTCTCTTGGAGCATGCATCCTCTTGAAGAGGCGCATCACTCGTGCACAGTACTGCTCGACCGTGTGCGGCTTTCGTGTCGAGTCATCAAAGATTTCGTGAAGCAGCCGTTCTGCTAACGACAAAGTTGCTATAACCTTTGTGTTTGCATCTGAAGCTGCCATGCTCCTGATATCAGGATACCAAGAAATTAAAGATGAACGGCATCTGGCCACAAAGTGCTCAGATACCGAATATCCGTGTTCATCTTTGTTTTCACCGTTTTGGTGCGCCTAGGAGCTTTTCATGGTTATCTCACACGCAAAAGCTTCTAAAACCCGACATAGGGGCTTTTACGCCACTCCACTATCGGCCGATGTCCGACTTTTGCCAGATACACGAATATAGGTGTACACAATCTCCAAAACGGAGCCTCTTAGCAATTCAGTATCTAGGAGAGGCATCCCGTGAAGATTCGGTGGCATGGCAAACCTTGTTGGGGTTTGCAAGCGCCTCTAATTCCAAGATTGGCGCATCACTCCACACCATGCTAGGGGCATATTGGGCACTCAATGGAGAACGGGCACGGATGTCTGTGCAAGCGGTTGGAAGGATTGACTCTCGTTCATGCGACATGTTTTTTAATCGGGATTCCTTTGAGTGTAGCTTCTTTGCTTGACGTTGAGCGCGAGATGCGTTCTTGAGAGCAACCCGCCAACTGACCTTGACAGCAAATGGGCCGTGGATGCCGCTTCGATCCCAATATGAGTGAAATCCTTCAGCATTCAGAGATCGCACGAGCGCTCTGGTAATATGACGCAAGTTGAATGGTTCTGCAAGAGCGCGGATTCCTGCAAGGGCTGCTGGATCAAGAATGGTTTCAAGCATCCCAAACTCTCTGTAAGATCTCACTATTGCGGTCTTTCCACTCTCCAAAACAGCTCGATTGCAAAAGTGGTTGGAGGACGATAGCCCAAAATTGCGTCCATTCAAGTCAAGGTTTCTACGGTGCACCAAGAAAAAAGGAATACACCGTTTCCATGGTGTGGCCAAAGGTCACCTTATACTTAACCATACCACCTCATATGTTGCGAACATTGTAATTGATGAAGCGAGTCGACAAGAGGACGGGACGGACCGGGTGATCTTTGTGCCCGAGTCCGGGGCCGACTTTCACTTGACCGTCCATGCCACCTGATATGTTGCAAAAATTGTAATTGATGGAGCGAGTCAATAGGATGACAGGTCGAACGGGAAATGCTCGGGTCCAGGTTCGGCTCCCACTTGACCATACCACCTAATATGAGTTGAATATTGTGACTCACGGAGCGAGTCGACAGGAGGACAGGACGGACATGAGATGCTCGTGTCCAATTAAGTCCGGGTCCCACTTGACCATACCACCTAATCTGAGTGGAATATTGTAATTCATGGAGCGAGTCGACAGGAGGACAGGACGGACAGGAAATGCTCGTGTCCAAGTCCGGCTTGCACTTGACTGGACCACCGAGATTGTTTGAACATTGTGAATCTTTATTAAACGAATTGAAAGGAGGACAGGATGGACAGAAGATACACGTGTCCAGCCGTTTTATGCTTTAGTCGTACGATTCCTCGTACGCTACAACCAAGCCGGCCGACATGTGAGAGTGGCGGCCCAACCTTAGATACATACATATTAGCAACCTCGGCCGAGATCCGAAAAGTTTATACTATAATCCGTTATAATTTCTTTCTTCTCCAGGGAAGGAATTATAACAGATTAGTAGTACAAACTTTTCCCTTTGGTTCTGGATTGATGATATGTATGTATGTAAGGCTATACCGGAAAAGATGCAATGTTGTAATGGACTTTTTGGAGAAGAGAATATGACAGATTAGTAGTACGAGGTTTTCCTTGTGGGATCCAATTGCCAATATGTATGTATGTAAGGCCATACCGGGAAAGATACGACATTCACACTAAACAACAGCCTAAAGTACTTAAGTTTCACTTAATACAATCAATCCTGGCCGATCTTCCAAACCACGAGTATTCAATGGTTCCTCTCCTCCTGTTCCGTCTTAACCTCTAGGGCTTTCAGCGCAAGACCCTTATATCCTCGCTCCGTTACGCCGCAATACTTTACACCAAGGCCAAGTTTGCTGGGCTTGTCCGGACCCGAGAAGCCGTGGTTGTTCATTGCCGACTTCAGCGACTTGGTGTCAAGCGAGGGAATATGGCCGACGCACTTGCCGCCCACCATCCTCTGCGGGTCGTTGTACACCTTGAGGGCATCGCTCGTCGAGATGAAGAGGTCATCGCCCTTGACGCAGCTGTTGAGGACGAAGTTGTCGAAATCGTCCGCCGCCTCTTCGTAGTCCTGCAGGGCGTCCATGCTCCGCTTCGGCATGGGGTACAGCTGCTGTCCGTTCTGGTACCACTTCACCGCTCCTGCAACCAGCCATGCGAGCAACTCCTGCATGTTCTGCAAGGTGCTCAGCTTGGTGAGGAGTCGCGTGTCCACCAGCCCGTGCAACGGGTTGGCCGGATCGTACCCCTTCTCGTGGGGCGAGAAGTAGCGCCGCACGAAGCAAACCAGCTGGAGGCGGCGCCGGAGGGCAACGGACCAGGTCTTGTCCGTCCTCGGGAGGTAGTTCGTGCAGATGATGAGCTGCAAATGGGGCGAAGAAGGCGCAATCAGAATTTGGTTGGCTCACTTCAGCAACTTCGAGCATGCCACAAGAGATCAAGCCCTCTTGCCGCTGACAAGAGATCAAGTCCTACTGCTGCTGATCTTCATTCAAGTGCAAGAGTTCGATCGCAATCCATGCTGTGCAATAGATTGCGGACGAACATACATTGGCCTCACCAGAACGGTTGCGGTGAAGGTAACATAGTCCCGAAACAAAGGCCGAGCGGTGATGACATCGCTGCCGGTGAGCTTTTTCATAGCGGCCTCGTTAAGCGTATCGGATCTGTCGGTCTCTTCGACCACCGCTAGTAGCGCTCCAGCAAGCCCTGCACAAAAAGCAAAGATGTTCCGATAAAAACACACAGATTGGATAGCCCAGAAGACAGGATCGAAAGGACGGACACGAGAATCTGCTGGCGGACTGATCATTGCATTTCCGACAATATTCGATGAGGTAAAATGCTGAGTCAGGACATTGTAGTTTGCAGGACGATCAGACAGGATCGACAAGACCAACACGATAATTTGCCATCAGACAAACTGTCATGCATCCCTAACCGAATGAGATGCAGCATCATATTTGACTTTTGGAGAAAGAGGACGTTCTGGTGGAGTCTCACCCGCTTCGAGCGGCGAAGCGGCCCCCTTGTGGGCGGCTCGCTGCCCCTTTGAGTTCACCAGAATCTCCTTGCCGACATTCTTGAAGGCGGCGCCGAGGAGCTTGCGCAGCAGGGCGAGGAAAACGCTCTTGCCTGCACTCCCCTCGCCAACAAAGATCGGCAGTACCTGAGAAGTATTTTGAGGAAAAGACTTCACAGGGCTGCAGATGTGGAGGGCCACCTTCCACGAGAGTCCTCTGTTGTGACCTTCACCACAAAACGGGGGAAGCGCCGAGACCTTCGCATAAATGGGTGGCAGTCGATGGGCCAAAGATTCGCAATCCTTCACAACGTAGTCTCACAGCATTTGGTCTTATAGCAATTGGTCAATGAGGATCCCGTGCTAATGGCCAAAGACCTCATGCGATTGTTGGGCTGTTGAAGTTTCAAGGAGCCCGTGAATACATCAAGTCCATGAAGCACTTGAAAGGAGCACCTACCTGATTGCTTGTATGACCAGTCAGCCCGTACCCCAGCAGTACCTGGAGGTGCTCCAGAGCGGCCGGCCCATCCTCTCCGGAGGCGTGCATGATGTCCTCCAAGAACCGTACCATGTCGCCCCTCGGAAATGACAACCCAGCGCAAGGGTACGGCCAGTCGATCACCCGGCTGTTCATGAACTGCAGTGCAAATTGCAGACCCATGAGAATGTCGGACAGCAAAGACGGCACAAACGGCAATCTCATCTGCCGAGGGCTTCACAACAAAAGCAACCCTTGGGGAGCAAGGGCTAGGAGAGTCGCCAGAGCCTTTGAAAGGGTTCGGCCTAGTGCTAGTCGATTGAATAAGGAGGTCTACCGGCTGGCCGGTGGATCTGGCCAATGCCTCCATGATCCAAACTTCTCGATGAAGTCCCTAGCCTGATCTGCATCTTTGCGCGAGCACGAAATCATCACTCACTCGGGGGTAATGCGGGAGCAGCTCGCCAGTCCGCAAGTCGATGACGCCGTTCGCCACAGCCAGAAAGTCCTTCTGCACGTCCAGGAGGGACTGGAAGCCGGGCTGATAGAAGTATTCCTTGCACGTGCCCAGGATATTGGACATCTTTGCATTGAAATTGATGTTGATCAGCCTCTCCTCCTTCTCCGGCTTGGACTGCTTCCCGCCACCCGCCGGCTTCGACCTGATTGGAGGGCCTCCCTTCGCGCCCAACCCGCTGTCTTCATCGCCTGCCGGTCCGTCGGCCATGACGATCGAACGCCCTTCTCCCTCCCCCTGTTCTGCTTCTTGCATGTACGCGGCCTCGATCTTGGAGAGCTCCTCGCGGAGCACCCGCAGGATCCGGCCGCCGCTCTCGTCCTTGGCCCAGCAGCGACCGGACCAATAGAACGAGCCCGAGGAGGTGAAGGCAAACTTCAGGCCCGTCCGCACGTAGAGGCGCTCCAGGATGATGGCGCCACCAACGTCTCCTGCAGGTACAAAGAACTCTCTGTTTGAGGAAGAAGCACTACATACCCTCGCCAACAGCTTTGCAGAAGTAAAGGGCACGCACAAAGTGCGAGATTTGTAGCTAAAAAGCAGTTGTAGGGACCAATCATAGCTCGAGAGCTACTATTGCTGTCAGACTGAAGAACAGAAACGTGCGAGAATCACTGAAAAGGAGCCTTAGGGAGTGACCAGTTGTAGCTTGGCAGCAACTATTGCTATCCAAGTCCAGAGAGATACAGAAATCTCATGTGCACAAATACAAACAAGAAGTGCTTCCTAGAAGTTATCACGTTATCAAAGGGCAAAATGACATCTGCAAGTATGCTCGAGTTAAGCGAGCAAAGAGTAGAAACCTAGAATGCGATTGTAGGTAGCAACCGTAGGCCTGGCCTACCACAGCATTCTCAAAGAAAGGGGTAGTATTGCAAGCTGTAACTTAAGAGCTTCATAGGCGTGACTTCCAGTCACGCCTTCACGAGAAACAGTGAGCACTGATTGATAACCATTCGACTCACCTTTCTTGACGTTCAGATTCTCTCGAAGGAAGGGCAGCGGCAGCAGCTGCCGGTCGGAGTACAGGTGGTCCCTCTCACTGTTCAAGGGCTGGCTGTCGCCAAAGGCCGCGGCAATTGGCAGAATGAGGACGCCCAGGCGAAAGTTGCCCGACCGCGGGGTGGCCTTGCAGCTCTCTCCGTGGCAGATGTACGTCACCTCGAACCCCCGCCGCAGAAGCCCGAAGTTGGTGCTGTCGTGCACCCTCGCGCGAGATGCCGGAAAGTAGGGGCACGTCACGCGGCCGCCAGGCGCGATCCAGAATTCGTAGACGGCCCCAGGGCCCGTGGAGGACGGCTTGGCGGCGCAGAAGATCGAGGTGTTGTCGCCCCAGGTCGACAGCAGCTTCTCGAGCTCGCGCACCACCTCCGACCGAAGCTCGGGGTCCGCCAGGTCCGGTTCCTCGAAAGGAGACGCCGGCTCGGAGCTCCCCCCGGCCCCCGGGTTGCAGGACGAGTCCGCTTGCGACTCCGCATCGCTAGCTCCGGCATTCTCTTCCATGCACGCATTTGCACCAGGCAAATCACCCCCTTCTTTTGCAGAAACGCATGCCACCTGCAGGGGGAAAGGAGCGAGTCATGAACAAGGACAGGAGGATCACGTTGCTTTGCGGTCCTTGCTGTCTCTTCTACCTGCCTGCCAGAGCACAGACGGCCAAGTGCACACAAGTATGAACGGCGACAGGAAGGAAAAGTGTCTTTGCTGTCCGTCCTGTCCATCAAAGCACAGACGGCGACATGCTTGAGAACATGGGCAACGATAGAAGACACACGTGTCTCTGCTGTCCGTCCTGTTTGTTGCTCCTTCAGGAAGAGTCCCAAGCGCAAGGGGTGCATAAGAGTTGGGTCGTTTGACCGGTGTTTCGTCAAGACTTACCCCGCTTGTTTGTGCACCATCGGCGGCGCCACCTTCCACAGCGTGCACGCGACCTTCCATGTGCGCGCTTGCACCAGGCGACCCACCCCCTTTCTCCTTAGAACTGCCTGTCACCTGCAAAGAGAGAGCACGAAATTGTGAATCTCGACATGAGAAAGACCTGTCTTTCCTGTCCTTCCCGTTAGCCCGAGCACAGACAGCAGAGTGCGTGAGGCTTGGGGCGGCGATAGCAAACCACGTGTCTCTGCCGTTCATCCTGTCTGCTGTTACTAAGGGAGAATCGGGCTTTCAAGATGTTGTTCTCACTTTGATCCTCACGGGGGTCAGCATCGGCTGCACACCATCGGCAGCGCTGCCCTCTGCCTCGTCCATATGATGATATGCAGTGTGCGCGCTTGCATCAGGCCAAAGCTTAAGCGAGCAGGGTCCTTCTTCTACAGAGGCACTTTTTGCCTGGAGAGGGAGAGCATAAAATGAGGAATGACAACAGAAGAGACGCGTATCTCTGTCTAAAGTGTCTACCAGAGGAGGGCAGCAGTAGCCGGCCAGCTACAGTAGAAGTTCCACTAGTCTTTGCTGTTCGCCTTGTCTGCTGGGAAGGGGGCTTAATGAGAAGGGAATAGAACCAATTTGCTGTTGGTTTTTGTCCACCTTAAGCCAAGCAAGAGACGCAGCTGACGACAGACAAGGCGCTCGAGTTGGTGCCCTGTTTGCCAATCAGGTTTGGAAAAATGGCTTCAATGCATCCAGTCTTACCGCATCAGGGGCGCTGTCAATCTCCCCTCCACCCTGGTCATCCTGTGGCATCGCTTCCAAGAGTTCGGGCCGTGCTTTGAGCACTTCCCTAGCTTGGGTTTCATTGACCTGGAAGAGATGAGAGATGTACATGCATCGGTTGTTTGCTGCTGAGCGTCCGAGGTATCAAAGCTTCAGCAACATGGGGTGACTTTTTAAAACAATCTTGACGGCTGATCAAGTGCGAGAAAGCTGCCAGTTTTGGACACATCCAAGTGCGCAAGAACCAAGCTACCATGCCACACCACTTGGCGCACAGCAGATTGTCACATCTCCATTTCAAAGCATGCACAAAATTGTCTACAATCATGAGATATCGAAAGCATATCTGAGCAACCGGGCGAGGCTAGAGCTGTACTCACCTGCATCTCTTCAAGACTGGGCCCGCCGTTGGAGGTAGCTGTGTCGTGGAGCTGTGGATCCCTCACGTTGTTGCGCCGACGCTTCTTGTTTGCCGGTCGCTTGGTCGTCCCTTCCTTGGATGCTCCTTGGCAAGAGTAGGCCGGGCTTGAAGGCTCATACTGTTCCATCGTCTGCAATTCAAGGCGCGGAGATCGAGTCAGTGCTCACGTGGCACTGTGAGCATGGACCTTGAAACATGGAAAAAGATTTTGGCTTGTTTTCAGTAGGCCCTGGATCAGCGGCCTGAAAGCAGCCCACAGGAGGCACCAATCAGCCCAACAAAGCAACAGATCAGCCCCACTGCAAGCAACACGTCAGTCCGACAGCGCCGAGCCCGAAAGAAGCCCCACAGCGAACCCCAAGTCAGCTCGAAACAGCACGACAAATCAGCCTCATAGCACTTGCCAATTCAGCCCCAGACTGAGCAAAACGCCAGCTTGACAGAGGGTCTGAAAGCAGCTCCACAGCGGGCCCCAAGTCCACCCAACAGCGCGCGACAAATTAAGCCCATGGCAAGCACCTATTAATAGGCCCATAGCAAGCAAGGTTGCGAAGCAACTCCAACAGAGAGCACAACCTTGTACGAGACAGGGGGCCTCAGCCCTAGCAAGGTCCAAAAACGGCTCCTTGGCAAGCCCCAATCAGCCCCAAAGCATGCGCACAATCAACAACAGCAGTGGCGTCAGCCCGACAATCGGCTGCAAAGCAGCTCTAACATAGAGCACCATCTCAATGAGACAGCGGGCCTCAGCCCCAGCAAGATCCCAATCAGTCCAAAAGCAAGCGCACAATAGAGCAACGCCACTGGCGCCAGACCCCGGCACTTGTCTTGCATGTGCCGTGATCCTTCTCTTGACCAGAAAAGCAGAGCATGCAGAGCATATCAAAAACGATTGACATGGTGACAGCACAGGCATTGGAGAGAAAATTGGTACTTACCAATCGCTGACAGGAGCGTGCCGCTCTTATTGTGCTTGTGCGTCTCTGCCCCCCGTGTCAAGACAACTAGACGTTTTTTCCTTGCTGCTCTTCTTGCATGCTCTGCCCCTTGAAGATGCTTCTATGCAGGACTAAGCACCTCTCTGTTTCTGAAGATGGTTCTTGGAGCTTCCAAGCTGAGGTGGATATTAGCCACATGGCAAACATGGTGACTTGAGGCGGCCATGCCATGCCACCACCGCGCCAGCTCCTGCCGCCGCCAGCTCAGCATCTACCCCTGAAACAAAGTCACCTGCTGCCGGCCGGCGCCAGCTCTTGCCAGCGCCAACTTGCACTACCAGCTCAAACAGCAGCTGAAAAACGCCAAGCAGCACCACTTCTTGCAGCTGCCAGCTGCGCCGTGCAATGTGGTGCAACCACCCAGTGATTCGTTCAAGCCACCAACAGCTGGCGCACTTAGCGCAAGGCGTTAGCAGGCTGACGCAGCGCGCCATTGCAGCTAGGCTACAATGCGTAAGGCGCCACTCAACATGACAAGTCAATTTTGATTGGCGTTTGTAAAGAACGCTTTTGCAGCTGAGCTTGAACCTGCAGACTTGGTTCACAAAAACCGCCCTCAACCTAAGCTTCCGTCGAAACTCTGGAGTTTAAATTAACTGGCAATGTTGAAGAAGGGGCACGAACCTGCAAGTCAGTACAGGGTTGCAGCTTGGGCCTGGCCTATCCCCTGGTGGCTCTGGAGAAGACGGGAGTCTATCGGACATGAAGACTAAAATCATAAGAACACTTTTCTGACCAATCATAAGGTTAGAGATGTCAGTCCCATTCAATGTCAACCTTCCGATAGGGGTGTTGGGGGGCGCCCGGACGGCTGCAAAGCGCCTCTGAAGTGCCGAAGACGCCGGGTAAGGCATAGGGGCACCAGAGGACAGCGTATGAGCGTCCGGGACAGTACGGCGACCGGGTGCGTGGAATTGGGCGCCGGGGGTCGCCGCGGACCGAAGGTTGACATTTAGTGGTGTTGACATTCGCGGTGTCGAAATCGACGGTCGGGAGGCGTCGGGGTTTGGGGGGATGGGCGCGCGCGTCGATGGGCCGCCGCAGGCGATAAGGAGAATCAAATAAGTTAGACGTCACTGCCTTGGTAACGCTCAGGAACGTGGAGTACAGCAGGCGCAGTGGCGGTTGACTCATGGAGGCTGCATTAGCAGAGCTGGGCCGGCTGGCAGAGGAAGCAGAGGAGAGGTAAGTGATTAAGCTTTTAAATTGTTTTCCAGGGTGGGTGGGAAGGGTCGAAGCGAAGCTTCTCGAAAGAAGCGTAGAGTTAGCTAGGAGGCGCCACTGGCGCTCTCTCTGTAATGTTCGAAAGCAAGGAGGACGTCTTCTTTACTTGAACAAGACGTCTCCCTGTCGGTGAGGGCTGCCCGCGGTCGCCAGCGCGTCTTCTTGCGGCCGCGCGCGGTGCGTGCGGTCAGGCGGCCGCGGTGGTCTAAACCCCGGTCATGCGCACAGCTATGATGCGGGGTGACGCATTCCGCGCTTAAATTTCCTGCGTAATCCAACGGAACTGCGGCCGCTGGCTGTTCATCGCTCGACGCGCGAGCATTCCGATGACTAAAATCATAAGAACACTTTTCTGACCAATCATAAGGTTAGAGATGTCAGTCCCATTCAATGTCAACCTTCCGATAGGGGTGTTGGGGGGCGCCCGGACGGCTGCAAAGCGCCTCCGAAGTGCCGAAGACGCCGCCCCAAAAAGACAATCGTTTGCCCAAACGACAATTATTGGAAATAACAGTGTTCAGTGGTGTTTTGCAGGGAGGAGTTCCAGCGGAAGTGCGAGGCGCAGTTGCGCGCCATCCGTGGGGTGGGCTTGGGTGGGAGCTGCACAGCAAGTGAGAGAATGAGTGCGGGGGAGACGCAGCGGTTTTATGAGGGGGCTCTCAATAGCTTCGGAAAGATCGCGGAGAAGAGTGTTAACGAAGCGAGCAACAGTAGTCGGAAACGGACTTTTCAGCAGTACCAGGAGTTCCTCGCTCGTAATGCCTTCGGCGTCACGGTCGAGACCGCTACTTCTGCGGATGTGGGAGCGTTTGTTATGGGGGACTGGATCCCCAGCCATAGTGCCGGGTGCCGGACCAAGCTGCCAGGGACAGGAAAAACCGTTCCGTCAGCTTCCGCGGTAACCCACGTGGTCAAGGACCTGTCGAAGTCCTACTCTCTCCTCGGCTACGAAGGGCGGAACAATCCTGCGAAAGCGGAGGTGGTGAAATCCTTTCGTGTGGGTTACGAAAAATTGTTGCACGAGCAGGGGGTGAGAGTTCAGCGGGCGAAAGTCTTCACCGAGGTGAAGCTGGACGCTTTGCTAGCGCATCTAGCGCGGCTTCTCCGAGAAAGTTCACCGGGCCTGGAACGGTGCGTGCTGCTGTCCGACCAAGCGGCTGTCTTGTACCTCTGGGAGACACTTGCGCGCGGGAAGGAGTGTGGGCAGCTGCAACGACGGCAAGTGGAGTTAGAGGAGCAGGCGGCCTACCCGGGTTGGAGTAAGACAGTCCGGCAGGAGCCGAGTGCGCGGATTCCGCTTGCGGCGCCGGACTCGCAGGATCGGCTGACCTTCGTGGAGGCTGCTGAGGCGCTGCTCCTCGGAATGGTAGAAGCTGGGCATGCGGTTGGCGAAGAAGGGTTCCTGTTCCGGGCCATGAACAGAAGCCGGACCGGCTTCGTTAATGAGCCGATGAGCAGTGATACACTTAGGAAAAGGCTGCAGAGGCGGCTTAAAGAAGCGGGGTTGTTCGAAGGTGAAACCGTGCACAGTTTCCGTCGGTCCGCTGTTCAGCACGCCGCGGTAAACCTGAACTACAACATTAAGGAGTTGATGGAGTTAGGCCGTTGGAAATCTTATTCCGCCTTCCGACTATACGTAGAGGAAGTGTGGCGCAAATAAAGACTGATTCGACTCCAAATTTGTTGCAGCGATTCGATGCACAGCCGTCAAAGATTCAATACAACAAATGATATGTCCTGACGCATATGCCATTGGCTGAATAACGTGACGAATTGCGACTTGCGTTCACTCTGAATGTTTCATGTGCGTAGCGCTCAATGAGAGCTTAAAGACAACTTTCACTTTACAGGGCTAACTTTGACTGCCGCCTGCATCATCTTTCTGCGTACCTTGCTGTTACCTACGCCTCCTATTTCCAGTTAATCTTGAATACTCTAAGCTTGTACAGAGCGGGGTTCACGGTCCCGGCAGGCACCCGCCTGCTTGGGATGCATGCGTTTGTAGACCGCTCAATCTCTAACGGACCTGCCACAGTCGCCTCGCTGCCTAGGTGCATCAGCTCTAGCCACCAATTGGTGGTGTTCGCCTCTGGTACCACCAGAATCACGTCAGTCCTGAAGTTACGCAGGGACTGAATTACACTGGGCAATGCCCTAACCGGTGGGAAGATCCACGCCGTTTCGTTTCTGTCTACAAGGGTCCTCCAGTCTATGCGGAGGGCGTCGACTGCAAAGCAGCCTGGCATATAGCGAGGGGTCACGAACCTCTCTGCCACGTGCCACGTGTCGGACGCAAAAAGGTCCACGTCAGGCCGCCCGAAGAGTGAGAAGGCAGCTTGCAAGACTGCCGGGGCAAGGCCCCAGTCCGAAGCGTCCGGAACTCGGCTGAGCGCATCTTGTACAGCCAGCTCCGCCCGCGGTTTCCATTGGGCGAGTACGTCGAAATCTACCTCTGAGCAGAGCGTAAAGATTTCCTGGAGGACGGCGTGGACGTCCGGCGCCGCGCTGCGCATACTGTTAACGGCGGCCACCGCGCCCTGGTTATCGCCAACCAACAAAACTGCTGCCCCGGAGAGGAGGGGGCGGTGGAGAAGCACGGCTTGTTGAAGGATTCTTAGGAATCCAATCATCTCTCGCGCTGTGCTGGACTGGGTAGCTTCCGCCTCGGTTAATGATCCTGCCACGTGGAAGGGGGGGCTACCGGCGAGGTGGAGGGATCCCCCGAACCCGAAGTCCGAG